CAGCACGTTGATTGTGTGTGTGTGTGTGTGACTGCGGAATCCGAAGTGACCCAGGGCGCGTCTGGCCACAGAAAACCCTAACATGTGCACTTGGGCTGCGGTAGCCAGGGGCCTCTCTTACACACATGCATGCACACACTTGCGCGTTCACGCACGCAGACACATTCCTGCCCCCTCAGCACAGGAAAGAGCCCTGGAAAGCACTAGAGACCCAGGGGTGAACAGCACTGCCATCTCCACCCACCTCTCCTACCAGCATTACATCAGAATTGATTGACCCTTGCACTGAGTTGTGATTCGGAGCTGCAGTATGCAGGGGATTGACAGCCTGGAACTAGTTGTTATTTCAGGTGGTTTTCTCTCTTTCCCAGTCTGTAACTGCAGGCCGATCTCTCTTTCTCTCCATGATGGTTCTGCTTTGCAATGGAATGACACTGCAGGGTGGATATTCTGAATGTTTTATGCACCTGATCCTGTGTAATTAGTACCATAGACCAATGGAGATGAGCAGCCCTGAACAATATAGCTGTACACTTTACTGCTAATCTTACACTACACACTCCAACAGATGGAGGGCACAGGAAGATAGAGAGACAGAGACACACAGTGAGTGAGTGCTCCGATAGGCTCGGTTGGGGGAAACGGGTGGAGAGGATTGTTGGTCCCCAACGAGGCGAGCTAACTGGGGGAAATTAGGTCAGTGTGTTCCCTCTGACTCCACAACAAGAACAGGCTGTGCATGTGTGCGTGCGTGCATGTTTTGCCGGTGCACCTACAGAGCCATGCTGCACTGCTACAGTAACATAATGTGCAGGTCTGTGCGTGTATGTGTGTGTGTGTTTGTGTACGCTGCCTGCCACAAGTTGGCATGTGAGTGAATGCACTACCAAAGGTCGGGGCGGATTTTAATACAGGTGATAATTATTTCCAGCGCAATTTCTTCAGCAGCTTTAATCCAGACACAACAGCAGTGTTTGATAACTAGCTCTAACCTAAATGCTGAAACTGTATTTATTTTGACTCATCACCCAGCTAATTGAAACAGAAAACTAGGATGTAACTAATCATAACATCATAACCAGTAACAAAATAGCTCTGAATATGAAAAAAAAAACAAAAGGTTAAGTGACATTTATCCCCAAATGGCCATACAGTCTTTTGGAGTAAAAGCTTTGGGGACAGATGGAGTCAGTTCTGCAGTCATTTGGCCTCCGGAGGATGTGGATGCTCTACTGTTCTACCTCCCACCCAGCTTTGTCTTTACTCTGTCTCTCTCTTCATGTCTCCTGATCAGGACAAGTCATACATACTATAATTGATATGAGATTTAGGGGGTATATTTCAATGTAATTAGAATCTTGATAATTGGACTAATTAGATCTAATTGCTATGTGAGAATGACTTTGATTAAAACAGGTTTCTCTCCTCAAAACCAGAGTAGGAAAAAAAACAGTTGGGTGACATTGATGAGACACAATACTAAAGCTAATTGACAATAATCATGGATGTAGAAAAGTCTAAATCTCTATTAGTAACAACCGTTTTTCAAACATCTGGTAGTTCTTCATTATTAAAGGTCCAGTGTGTAACATATATGGTTCATCAGTGTATAATCACCTGAAAATAAGAATCATTGTTTCTCAGCCTTGTATCCAGATTCCTGGCTCTAGGGGTGGCCACCATAGTTTCTCCTTTGCAGTTGAAAGGGGAGTGTGAAGCGAGGGAGATGCAATCTGCAACTACACCACTAGATGCCACTAAATTCTACACTGGTCTTTTAAGTATTTGTTAGGTCGCAGTGATTTTGATTTTATGTAAAATATGATGAGCTTGAATGCAAGCTAGCAACAGTAACTTATAAAGTAGTAAGGTACTGCTAAAGTACCCTCAAAGGTGTAAAATCAATTCAGTCTGAGTATGTTTATCTTTTCTTAAAGTTGTTGCCGCACCATCCAAAAGCATTAAATTGGCCCTATCGAATTACAACAGCCGTATTGAATCAGGTGCTTTGATTTTGCTCAGTGCTATTCTGTGAGAAAAAAAGGTGGTTAAGATTACACTTGTAGACATCAAATAAACTGGAAGGTCGGCAGGAGTCTTTCATGCATGTTCAAACAGATAGCAGCAGCATAGGAACTAAAAAAAAAAAAGAAAAAGAAAGAAAGAAGATTCATTCCTGGCTTGTTTTCATAGTCTTTTTCATTTGCCCAGAATTGACTTGCAATTGTCAATACCTACAGTAAAAGGTGCACAGCGTTGTCTTTGAAATTGTAATTTATGGTTTATGGTTATTATGGTTCCATATATCATGTGGGCTTTTTTTTCTTTTTTAAGGGGGTAGATTTTTTAGGTTATAAACCTGGAACTTTAAATAATTTAAAAAAGAATAATCAAATTACTAACTCCAAGAATGCAGACAGAGGCTGATCCTGGCCCCACTGAAACAAAAACTTTAAATATAAAATATGATTTATGTATAACATCATACATAATAGAGACACTTACATCCCAGAAGATGTGTTTCTAAGTAGTTATGCTAGTTTGAATAGATGAGGTGATAACATAATAATATAACTTTTATGTGACTGACAACTTGTTGTCATTAGATGCCTTCATTTAAACTGTAAGTTGCCATACGTGTAACAATATTATTTTATTTTTAGATAGTTGGGTTCTTAACATAAAGTTAGACTTTAATGTCACACCTGCAGTCACAGCCTGCAATGTACATACATGAGATTTATATTTGTTATAAGTATGTATAGTGAACATAGTGTGGAGCTCTGTAAGACAAGGACAATGCTTCCTTCCAATACATTGCTTTACATTTATTTTACTCTGTGAATAAAGTGTTCCTGACTGTGACGTTCTGGAAATGAATGCATTGTGTTAAAGATTTTCTGTGATTCTCAGACAATCCAAACTGAATCTTACTGTTTCTAAGTGTTTGCTTAATAATGCATGAGCATCTGATTTGCACATTTGTGTCGGGACGCCCTATAAAAATCTCAATGAGCTCAGTCTCTCGTGGCTCAATAGATGGCAGTAATATCCCTCAATCACTGCAGTATGAATCCTCATCCCACATAAAATGTATACACAGACATCCGTGCACACTGCGCACACATACTGTATGCAGACGCGCACAAGAAATGATGTACATGTAAACACAAACACAATCCCACGCACGTGCAAAAATGCATATGAACACACACACACACACACACACACACACACACAAAGATACAAACGGAGCTCTCAAAATGCCAGAAGAGATAGAGATGACATCACTACAGCACATAAAATAAAAAAACAGTAAACAATTCCTTTCGTCTGCGTCTCTGTCAGTCCTCAGGTAATGTAGAGAAGCCTAGAATAAGTCAAACAGCGCAGTGGGAGAGATGGGTGAGGGTATGACTTTGACACTGCAGTGTCTTTACCTTCATTGTGAAAGCCAACACTGGCACCGTATCTTTCTAATGCTCTGATTACGCGAGGGCAAAAAAAAAAGCAGCCTTTAGCTCAGAGATACTGTAATGTGTGTGCTTGTAAAGATGAAATCAATAGCAGCAGCACCTTCACAGGGCATCAGGGAACCGCCAGGGCTCCAACTCAATACAATCCGTACCTATAACTGACAGAAATGTCTCATCTCACGGAACCCGGCGACTGCTCAGAGGTAAAAAACGGCATTATGAATAATCGTGAAAACCATTTAATTGTGTCCCTTTGTGTGCTGCCTGCCTGGGCTCTGTGTTCGTTTTGTATTCACTCTCCCTCAAGATAGTCCCTGTGTCGTCATTTGTTGGCAGGATACGCTGGTAATCATTTGAATTCCCCCACTATGTTCAGAAGATGTCAGGGAGTAGTCTCTGATCTTGTTTAATATGTGACCAGCAGCTATAAATTACCAACTCCCAGAAATGAGGAAACATGGGTACTTTTAAATCTCCAGGGAGAGCTCTCTTTCTGTCTCTCTCACACACAGAGACTCTCTCTCTCTCTCTCTCTCTGTCTCTCTCCCTCTCCCCCCAGTGTAGTAGTGTGTGTGGTAATCCCCTCCCCTTAATTTAGTTGACGTTCAAATAAAAACAAATACCTGTGACTTTTTTGTTGAAATAAGCAATTTTGCTTTTAGCCTATTTCGATGCTCCATGGGCATACAGTGCTGCACCTTGTTGCTTTTAACACATTTGGCCAAGGTGTTTGAAAATGTGTGCTTCCTGCTTTGTTTATATTTCATATATCCCCGTTTTCTCATTAAAATCAATTGCTGTAAGCCACGGTGAGGAGGAAAACAAATTTTTCCAAACCTCCTTTGTTGCATTTTGTTGTGCAGAGGAGGAGGAAACAAATAAACCACATAGTGACATAATAGAGGTTGAGCAATGTTTGGTTTGGCTACATATGCAATGTTGTTACAAACCAAATTAGTTGGAATAAAACTGATTGTTTTGTCTTAAAACTGTAAACCACAAATTAAAATTTTATTTTGTAATTCAAATGTATTTTTTTATTATTATTATTATTATTTATTTTAGACATTTAAGCTCATGTTAATAAAAAGTTCAGGTTTGATTTAGGCTCTAAAGGGGATCTTTTTAAGTATAATTATTAAATGTAAGCTCTTATGGTTAGTATAATTTCCCCTATAAGTTCTCACACAGTATGACTTTCTTTTTTACAGGACAGATCAGGCCACAAGCTCTGAAAATTTCTTCTGTGACTTGTTTATGTTGACAAATTACAATTGAGTTATACAAGATTAAAGCTATAACAGATGCAAACTCCATTTAGTTAGGATTTCCCTTGGAAGACATGTGACTACTATATCTATATCTGTACAGGAGGTGTTCTAGGCACATTTTGTTGTCAGCGATGCCGTGCTCATCACTGTCTGTGAAGCACCAGTTGTCACCCACGTTTTTTTGTTTTTTTTGTTTTTTTTCTACATTTGAATCTTGCAAGACTGAGGCGGGATAATGAGTGGTGAGACTTACTGTAGGGAGAATGTATACTCCTCCATCTCCTCCGTGGAGAGGTTCTCCATTGAAGGCTGCATCTTCTGTTTGTCTGCCTGCCGAGGCGGTGCGCCGCTGCCGCTCATGCTGGGGCCGCAGCTATTTGTCTTCTTGATTGGCTTCTTCTGTGAGGAGCAGAAATCGGGGAGAACACATGCGGATGTCATTTGTAATCAAAGCAGGAAACAGGCCTCTGAATTTATCTTGGGGGATGCACACGGTGACAGTGACAGTGTGTGTGGCACTTTGGAGCCTCTCCTATATCTCAACCGCGCCTCAATTGACACGAGACAAGAATGACGGCAAAATCGCATACGGCACGCCATCATTCAAGTTGAGTTCATTTGGGAAACATGCGTACAGTGACGGTGGCGTTAAATATGTGATATTTGAGCAGCTGGCACTGTTTTTTTTCCACACAAGTCGTTTACTGTCATCGTCATAAACACAGTCAAATGGAGTTAGGAAGTGGGGTTTTAAATATTTCACCAAGGTACTTGGGAGCAGATATTATTTGTTAAGCCGCCAACATGTTAACGGCTTGCTTTCCCTGGCCCTGTCAGCCCTGCCTGTGTTGCCCTTGGGTGGGCTTAGTGCCTTTCTGCTTGAAGTTGTGAAATACTCACTGATGTATGTTAATGAGATCCACAGTTGGAATAAGCAACCTCTCTCTTTCTTCCACCCCGTCTCCCTCTACCTCTCTCCATTTCAGTTTTTTCATGTTTTCCTCTCCTCCATCTTACTCCCTCTCTCTTCCTTTTTCTCCCTCTGAGATAAACTAGGCCCTGGAAGTAGTAAATGGGCAGGGCCCCATAAAAGCTCCATCCGTTTTCATAGGGCAATCTTTGCCAAAGCAAGCTTGGATTCCAGAGTGATGATCACAATAAAAAGGTGGAAAGGAGCAAGCAAAGAAAAGCAGAGAGAAAAAATGCAGGAGATATATAAACCGCAATGTTCTCTGGTGTCTCCCCACAATAAATTTAATGCAATACCTTAAGAGCGGATTCCGTATATAGCAGGATTCCTGCCCTGTGGGCAAAGTGGTCGCCTGGAGAAAATTCATTTTAATTAGGCCTGCACTGCAGGTTGAAGGGTTGAAATCTGATCCCTAGCGCTCCCAGGCTGGGGCAGGTTGGAGATCACTCCACTTAATCATTAGACAACTGGGTTCCACACCACGACATTTGACAGAGTTAGCAAGGTTTTAAAGATAGGGCCAAGAGGAGAAGAAAAAAAACATGGTCTACAGAGGCTGCAGAGAAATAAAACCTCATATCAACAAACTCATTTATTTAACAGGTCATCACTGATTAATGGTAGTCTGAAGAGCCTCTTGTACATCAGCAGAAGGAGGTTAGTAAGAATAAAGACTTGGAGGGATGGAAGAGAGAGGTAGGAGGGGAGGATGTGTATACGTGTGTGACAGATGGAGGCTTGTTCATAGGCATCTAACTACCTCAACAATAACATCACAACAACAAAAGGCCGCAGCAGAGGCACAATGGCAGGGGCGGACCGGGAGACAGCAATGCCAGATCAGCACACAGAGTAATTTTGCAATTACCACTTCAAAGTATGGCAGGTAACATGCCGGCTTTGATTAATTTAGCTTAAGTCCTCTGTAGCACAGGAAGAGGCGTGTTTAGAGCGGCTTGGAGAAAAAAAGGGAGGCCTGGCTGGCTTTGCTGATTTCACAGAATTTGAGCTGCTTTGGCTTGTCAAGCAGATCAAAACTGGCTTTGAAGGCTGAAAAATACCTGTTAGTGTGAAATGTATTTTGACAAATCTCAGATAATAAGCCGGGGAGGTGTGTGCAGGGGCGCAGAGAGGGGCGGGAAGGGAAGGGGAAGGGGAAAGCGGTGAGAGTGCTCATTTCAAGGGTGGGAAGAGTTTCCCTTAAATCACAGTGTTACCTTGTAGTGAATCCCACCCTCTGCTTTCTGCCTGCATGGATCACTCTTCTCTCTCGTGTTTCCAGAAATGGCTCCCGAGGAGAAATTCTTCCCTGCAACCCAAAAAAGAGAAGTAATGTGCGCAATGTGAGTGTGAAAAAGAAAGAAAGGTTCATGTTTGTTTTCATTTGCAAACCACATCTGGCAATCATAGTGAGGATCAAGGGTGGCTGAGTAATATTTATATTACACAATCCAAATGATTATGAGTTGTTAAAAGTACTGATGAACTAGAAAAGCAATAATGGAAATTGAGGAAAAAATACATTCTGAATATTTTAATGCTAAAAACTAAAAGGTTTCATGTGTAAAATGATTTTTAAATTAAGGTAAAATGCTAGGTTTGTAATGACACTTAGATAAGAAAAAGAAAAATACCTTAAAATAAATATGTTGTTTGCAGTGTACCAAGGAATCAAATAAAATACTCATAATGCATTTCTGAACACACTGCAAGTGTTGCTTTTGTCTTGTTTTTCTACTCCTGGGCAGGTAGTGAAGATGTTTTGCTATACTATCTGGAGACTTGCAAAAGAAACAAAGGCTGGTTTTACTCTGTACAGAGAGAAGTAGGAGTGTTAACTTATGGAGCTCCCACTGCACAGTCATCTCTGTCTCCCACAATCTCAGAGCTGAACCTTCCCAGCCTGAACGCTCTAATGTATGCAATTAGAAAAGATGAAAAATCAAAAAAGAAATTAAGTTTGGTTGTAATACATTTTCCCATTCTTCTCTTCTTTGGAACATTACTTTTGAAGTATTTTTCATCCTAACCCTCTTTTTTCTTTTCTCTCTCTATCTGTCTCACTCTTTTTTTTTGCTGTAATTTAAATGGTAAGCCGCCAGATGTGTGTCTCATGCTTGAAGAGTCGGAGATCTGCATTATTTAGCATATTAACATTCACAGAATTTAAAAAAGGGTTCCTGCATTGCCTGGAGGTTGTAATTAAGTAAACCTTAGCTTGATACATGTAAAAATCTCACTATGTGAAACTTTTTTCCCCCCGTGGAACCAGTCACATCTATATAATACATATGGAAACCTCTGCGATGATATAATTTTTCCCTTGCTGCAGGATTAAATATATCAGTAATAATAACTTAAATATAGGCAACACATCAGGAATCCGTCTGACAGCTTAAATGTCCTTAAATGGCAAGAAGAGTCTGCTCACTGCTATTTTGAAGGAAGTCTGAAATTTCATCCTGACACAGATGTAGTTTTTAATTACCACTGCTTTGCTGGTAAGCATTTGGAGAGCCTACAGTTACAAGGTAATAATTATATTTGTTCTGTGCGAAGGATAAAATAATTTCACGACATTACATAACTGTATACTCAATTTTGTGTTCACCTATTATCTTTTGTACATGGTGTGAACATATCTTAATGCCTGGACTTGAGGGAAATATATTTTTACACACTCGAAGTGTAGAAAGTCCATTAAAAAAATAAATAAATAAATTACTGCCATGATAAAATGGAAAGAATGGAAAAGCACAGGGGAGATGGAGCGCATCAAGAGGCACAAAGTCAGAGACCCTTTTGTGTCAAATACACAAAATATGTATTTGGTCACTTTCTTAGTTTTTAAGACTGTATTCACCCAGAAAGAAAATACAATCTGCATTTTTAAGTTTTAAAATATCCAAATTCAACTATTTGTCATTCAAATAGTTCATTGTTTTAATAGGTGATTTCTAATCTAAAGTAAATGTACACTTGACCAAATATTACATTACAGCAAGGTATGTGTGTGTTGCCGTGGCATCACTGAGACATAACAACTTTGATATTGCATGAACCCACCATTGGCCCAGATGCCGGAAGCGGGACTGCTTTTTAGGAACATGTCATCGGCCCGTCTTACCAACAGATGTGTCTTCCACTAGCAACCAGCATGACTAATTATCACAAAACCACCTCTCACATGCAGTCGGCAAGGAACATATCAGAATACCCCCCCAGGCTGTCCAGAGAGGAGCTACAGTGGCTTGTTCCACCGCACATCTATTTAGCTCTGACACAACAAACACGCCCATCCTCACAGCCTCACCGCTTTGGGCAACACAATAAAAAACACTAGGCACCTATATCTAAACAGACAGAGGAGAACCCCCCCCACCCCACAACCACACACACACACCACACAACACATACGAAAATACTTGAAGATTCTAGATTTTGAGGCAAAACCTCTCACATTTCTATTCATGAGCAAGTGTAAGACATTGATTCCGAAACTGAGTTAATCATATGTAAGATTGTATGGGATTCACGGGTAGCGTAGAGGAGCTGTATGTTTATCTGCGGCACGACGCGTTCACACACATCTAGGGCACACAGGTGACGAACCAACATCAGTTACACTGGGCCCCACTTGCTAATGCGCAGAAGCCGTGGAACCAGAATGAGCGTGGAGGCAGCATCGGCAGCTTCGACATCATCGACAGCTTCGACAGCTAAGGGCTACGTCTGTGAACTCAGAGCGCTGGAGCTGCCACAACTCCAGCCTCTCCGGGCACTCAAGGCCAACAACAAACTCCTTGTTATCCCCCTGTGCGCTCTGAGCTGTGTTAAGACCAGCACACACACACACACATACTCATCCAGTGCATACGCTGCATTGATGCACCCACACACAGAAAGGCATATAAACAAAGATATTAATATGTAGACACTTGCATACATGTATAAACATTTTCCAGGGTAGAAATACAAATGAGTGTACCTCACAACGGCCTAATTCAACACACCTCTTTTCTCTCTTGCTTACACACAAAAACAGGCCAAGGAAAGAGAAAAGCCTGAGGGCCGTAACACTGTTGAGACCCCATCGCTGTGTTACCGGTGAGATGCAACTAGGCTGAGATGGCGGATCTTGCTCACCTAGGCCCCCTAATTGCCTGATGACTGGTCCAAAGTTACAGAGGGATCAAAGGTCAGTGACTCACGGATTACCCCTGAGTCCATGTCGGGATTTGTGTTAAAGTTGCTATGATACTGTGAGGATTTGGTGTCGCTTCACACAAGAGTTTATTTTCTTGCAATCCACTTTAATGACAATAACAGATATCCAGTGAATGCTAATATGTAGATATGTGTGTGGACTTTTTCCCTCTCATTGGTGAAGTGTGCAGCTCTTGAAAATTAAATCTGTGTTTGTCATGTTCACTGAACCGCACATAGGCTAAAACTGTCTTATCACACAAAAACTGTGGATTTTCAGTGCGTTTTGGAGGCAAGACAGTGTCACCTTTGGGTGTATTTGTCCCATATGCTCTGTTTTTGTCCCCCCATGCGCACTCCTCTAGGCTTGTTTACCACACCCACTGTGAGGGTTTACATGTGTATCTCTACAAACAAGCTTCAAAGGTTGAATCCATCCATTTGGAATCCGGACATTGTTGAATTAATCGGTGGGATGCAGAGTGGGACTGATTGAGAGGGTATGATGTAACATTGTGGTTTGAAACTCTGATGACTGGGACCGGCCTGGAGGGGAGCACATCCTGAAAGTGCAGGGCAGCGCTCCAAAGAAGACATTAGATGAGGAATCCTCGAAATCACCATAGGGACTCAAGGGGATGGATGTTACGATGCATTTAAAAAAAAAATAAAAATGAAGAGAAATGAAGAAGTGATACAGTTATGGCAGAATCATCTGCGTGCTCACAGTGATCCACTAAAGGCGATCATGAAACAAGACACTAATCTAATTAGTCATTTGGGTTCAAACAAACCCAATGTAACTGGATCATTCAGTTAATGTGAAAGGTCACTTAACCCAGTGCGCCTCTAGCTAATCTCTACGTTAAAAAGCCCCTCACTCCATTATGCTTGGACAAGTCAACTGAGGTAAATGAGAATTATTACCAACCAATAGCAAGTGAATGTGAAGCACAAAAACACCCATACCCACACACAACAGCACTTTGAGTATAATCTTCAGATTTTTCGATCAAAACTTGTCAGAGTTACTATCTTGGATTGGGATGTCAGGTTTTGTTCTGTAATAGACACCTCACCGCACACTGTGATTTTTCTACAGGGATTAATTAACTTAAGGCCTCAGGAATACAAACTTCTTGTCTCACTGTCAAGCTCTGCTGTGTGTACGTTATCGCAGTGACAAGAGGTCTCCGTATACTTGTCCTGATTCTGAGACAAATGGGTAATGAGGAAAATCCTGGCGTCACATGCGCAGAGAAAGCGATCTCCACACAGCACACATCAGAAACAGAGAGGCATGAAATGGGAAGGAAATGTCTGAAACCCCCAGACTTGACAGAGGACTGAGGAACAGGGGATAATTTGTTCTTCTTCTCTGTGCTGAATTGGATATCCATTTTTGGCTAGGTTAAAGTTGTCCATCCAATCGCTTCCTTCAACCTTGACGTAATCTCCCCCATCTGAATGCCATAATTCGCTCCAGAGGTAATGCAAAATGAACGGATCTGTATGCAAATGAGGCGCAAACGTCAGGTTGGCTTAGGGAACGGCGTGGATGAGGTGATGTGCAGGACACCTTTTGATCCGCTATTTCACTTACGGATCGGGTTCACTTCCCAAGCAACCTCTTCACCTGGCTGCAAGAGTGTGTGTGCCAGACTAAGCAGCCGGGTGTGTTGAAGAAAGACCTGGTACCTTTTACCTTGCATGGCAGAACATAAATCTCCCATAGTGAGTGCCTCCCTCCCTCCTTCCCTCTCTCTCTCTCTCTCTGGAAAGGCAGTCAGTTCGTTGGGGACACTTCCCTTGTGGGCGTTAGGATCTCTGTGGGGGGTCACAGGTCAGTCGGCGGAGGAAGCGACAAGCTGTGAAATGTAAAAGACCAATTTCTTCCACATGTTTCAGTGCTGGGAGAACACTGCCAAGCTGTCAGCCGGCATCACGTTTAAAATGGGCCAGGGTGCTACCCAGCAGACCTGTCACAACTCATTTGTAATTAAAAAGCCTGTGTGATGTTTAAAGCAGAGCACCCCAGAAACTTTTGAGGACTGTTAAATAAAGATGAGCTGTGCGTGCAAAAAAAAAGAAAAGGAAAAAAAGGGGGATGTATTAATAACAAAGAAGCTAGCCAGTTGCCTTTGTAGTAGATCAATACCAAATGAGCCTGTATTTGATTCCTGGCTATAGCCAGGATGTTGGATGACTTGAGACTAGGTTGCAAAAAAGAGTAGTATGTTTTTAAAATAAGGAATTGGATTCTTATTGCTATTAACAGAAGTCATTAGCCACCTCAAGATGTGGTTGCAACTGTGGTGATGACTTTGCTTGGACCACCACAGGGCATGACAACCACCACAGGGCATGGCAACCACATCGGAATAGTTCATCAGTGCATCTGATGGACACAGTTCTACCTATTCAGGATCATATTGGAGCTTATCCCAGCTTGCACTGAAAGAAAAGCAAAGGTGCACCAGTCCATCACAGGACTAAAACATGGAAACATAATCATATTCACACCTGGGAATGTAAGTCTCAAATCAACCTGACCTGCTAGTCTTCAGACTGTAGGAGGAAACCAGATCACCCGAAGGAAAATTGTGCAAATGCGGGGGGAACATGTGAGCTCCACACAGAAAAGAGCCTTCGTTCTGTGAAGCAACACTAACCAGTGTCCACTATGCAGTCCCTGCAGTAGTTCATTTGCTATCTAAAATCATTTCATTCTGTTTCCCAGTGCCACTGGAAAAAAGTGATACAAAACATTTGAAACTTGAGTATTAGGTAGATAATGGGACAGATAACGACTCCAAGACGGTAATCAGAAACATGTGATGGATAGTTAAACGGCAGAAACAGAACTCTATTTGAAATTAAAACTCAAAAATGTATATTTTTAGAATGTAACACAATGCATCGTCACATTAAGCACAACCACATTGTGTCTGAGCCAGAACACCTTTTTGTAATGGCAAGGTAATACAACTATTTGTGTGTGCGAAGTCAAAATGCTTTGTGTATTTTAGCTTAGGTTAGGTACTGAATGGATTAAATAGCAGTCATGTGAATGTAAATGTGCCACCACAGCCTATTTACAAAAAAACTGCCTTACTAATAGCTTTAAAACATAACATATATTTCAGTGCAACAATAAGAATAACAAAAATTTGAAACTTAAAATCTACATTTAATGATTAAAATAATCAAAATGCTGTCAATTAATTAGTTTGTATAATGGTTTTCGTGTCATCATACCAAAGAGGGTTTGTTACTTATTTAAGTAAAGGTATTATCAAAAAGCTTTATCTGAATTTGTTACAAGTGCTGTGCTTGCTGCTCAAACATTTGCCTGAACTAACATCAGTGCTACAGTGTATCTATTAAATTTTTGCATATAATCTAACTGAGAAAACATTTTTTGTATGTCAAGCTTGGCCCACTGTCTGTACCCAACCCTACCCTCAAGCACATTCACCTCAGTGGAGAACTGTTGTAAGTGAGGCCTGCCATTCTTCTTATCCCAGTGCTTGTGACATTAGGGTGACATTTTCTCCCCACTGTGGCATAGTCGGGGGTTTTAACATTAGACCCCTACCTGGCAGAGATGAGGAAGAGCAAGCAGAATCAGCTGACAGGTGGAGAGGAGACCCCCGGTGAGAATGTACCACAGCGGGCTCTCCTGCTCTGCTGCTGGGACTTGCATGCCGCTGCTTTTGGGGGTATAACTGGGACTGGGGATGAATCGGCTGAGGACGGAGCTGGGCCTGTGATCGGGGCTGGGGCTGGAGAGGCAGTTGGCCTTGGGCTTGTTCAATATGGACCTCAGGTTGAGGCATGACAGGGGGGTTAGGAGGGAGTAACGACAGGGTGATGCAGCACTCGGACCCCCCAGAAGTTCCGGAAGGGAGCCTATTTACCTGAATCACCACAAACAAGAGAGTGAGAGAGGTCTACATATGGGTTGAGTGAACATTAATATAACCTCGTCATGTTAATGTCATCAGCAGTTATGTTCATATCATTCCATTGCATCACCAGTGTTTGTGGGAAAACAGCATGTGTGTAATTAAACTACAGGTGTTAGTGATCAAACTGCAGACATAGCCAACTATTAGTATTTGTCATCGTGTGCTATGATGGCATAAAATAATTTAATTAAGACTAGTATGAATATTGTACGTCCTATCGTGCTGTACATTCACAAAGATGCACAAAAATATGAAATCAAAGCAATGATAATGCAGTAATGATAATGCAGTAATAAAAACAACATGTCACAGTCGAAGGGACAAATAAAGAGACAAACCCAAGACAGAGAGCTTTGTTCTGGCTTTTAATTCAATTAAGATGTTTACTAATCTAATCAATGCATCAGCTCAAATGCATCCGGAATTGCTGGGTAAAGATGTGGTTCTTGTTTGCTCTCTGGGGCCAATTTCCAATAGCTCTACAAAAGCTTTTTATCATAGAAAATCCAACCCCCCATCTACCCAGATCCACCATCCTGCCTCCCAAATAATAGGGGAGGGTCAGAGTGAGGGAAAAGATGCATGTACACACACACGCACACATATACACAATTATACACAATCATATGGTTTAACCATAACTCATACCTGCCCACAATTATGAATATAACATATTCAAAAATACAATAAGATTAGATGAGAATCTTTAAAAGAAGCATGCATGCACACACAAACACACACCTGGAAGTACAGGTTGCACAGCCAGTGGTCTAGGTCAGAGGAGATGAGGGCTTCAATTTTTTTAAACTGGTCCAGTTGTGTGTTCGGCTCCCCCCTGAGCAGAGGGGTTTTGAACCTGGGTCAATGACACATAACCGGTAATAGTCACATTCCACTCAACATATTGGACTACTTTTTGGCATTCAATCTGAAGATTTATTCTAATTTCATGTCACTCCATGTGATGATTTTGCTGGAAATCATAGTAGTGTATTGATCTAAAATATATACTGTTCAAAATACAAACTTTTTGAGATCCAACAGTAATCTTTGATCTGCCTTTGACACACCTGCCGTGGACATGACTGAGGCCTGGTCCACTAACAGGAAATGCCCCCCAGGCCAGCACAGAGCTGATGTGGCTGCTGTGTCCGGGTAGTGCGATCAGTTGGAATACCATGACCATGGATGGGACAACCTCACAGGCTGCAGGTAGGATCTGCAGAAATAAAGGAAAAATATAGTTTCAGGTGAACATTCCTGCAGACACGTACACTAACACACACATATGCAGACAGACTTTCTCACACAGGCAAAGACAAACAGACACACAGAGGGTAACAAAGGACAGGAGCCCCCAGGCAGCCACTAAATGTGCATCCTAGACTTGAATCCTCTTTTACCTTATTTCCATGTTCTTTTTAGAGCCTACTTAACTGCCATTCTTATCCGTCCAACTTGGCAAATTGCCAAAAAGGAGATTTTGGAATGATAAAGACTGTTGGCATCTAACGCAGGGTGGAGGGGAAGTCGAGAGTCGTTGTAGTCTATGAGCTGACAGTTACTGAATTCTACGATGCAGGGAGGCCACCATCAATCAAACTAATGACATTAAGGGTGTCTTGCACAAAGCAAAAAGTGTTAGTGGTTAGCAGTTGATGGCAAACACATACATTCTTATTTATCCAGAGAACAGTGGTTTTGCTTAAAAAATGAACTGACAGTGAGGTGTGTGCCACTTCATCCATCACTGGGTGGAAATATTTTATTCCTTTATTAGTTGTAATGGAAAACGCAGGGGACTTGTTTTAACACATAAATCATGTGTATCCCTCCTACCCCACTCCCTCCTATCTGCTTTTGGTATGCACCTGTGAAATGATGGGTAGTAGTGTCTGAGTCAGGACACAAATTTATGGCATAATATCACAGATTATGGATATTGAGGATATTTCATATTATTCATTTACTGTAAGAAATATGACCTGCATAAATAGTAATTTTGTGCATGTGCGAGTGAATATGTGTGAGGTGCTTGTATGTAGACATGTGCGCTTGTTGTCATGTATGTGTATGTGGGAAGTGTTGAGGTTTGAATGTGCTTCAGAGGTTTTCTCACTTCCTTTGCTGGAGGAGCTACTTATACCATTCAAAATATCTTCTTTAATTCAAAACAGACTGATCTCACTGATCTCACAAGAGTGCATGTGTCCACACAAGAAGTAAATAGTGACCATTATTCTGCAAGATGACTCTTTCGTTCTTCCTCAACGACCAACACGTAGGACACAAACAAAAAGGGGGAAAAAACAAGAGCAAATTCATGGCTGTCCATACAGACTTCCTGGGATCTTTCATCTTTCTTCTCTCTTTTCTTCTTCATTCATTCATTCTTCTTCCCCCTTTAATATTAAAATGTGGAATTGTATGCCTCTTCCCAATTTCAAAAACTGCACAAAGACTGTGAGCCTGACTCCTCTCAAGTGCTCCCACTTGCCAGCATATCCAAGACATCTCCGACTGAACTGCACTGTTTCTTTCTAAATCCAAACCCAGACACACAAAACAAAGGGTGAATGAAAAAATAGGGAGAGAGAGGGAGGAAAGGAAAGGAAAATAAGCTCCTGGCTTCCCCTTACCATCACTAATTCCTCATTTCCTCTTAGAAGGCACTGCAAGCACTCCTGAAATCGCACGCTATAGTGTGGGCAAGGGGAGAGAGAGAAAACATCCAAGCCAATCCTGATAGTCTCAGACAAATCTGATCAGCGCTTCCACCACTATCAATGAGGACAACAACAACAGGTTTGTCTATAAAGCACAGCTGAGTGTTTGGCGGGGAAAGGAGAGAAGGAAGAGTGACATGAGGCATTTACCATGCCGTTCTTAAACCTTTTTTTTACCTCTGAATCAGATCCCAGGTCCGCATTCAGTTTATGCCAGCTTTTACCCAATCCTTTATGTTTGATGGGAGCTGGAAACAATATTATCAGGATGCTCTAGTTCAGTAAATACGCCCACCAGCACATTGACAGTGTCCACATGTGCAAAATGCTCCAGCTAAGGCCTTTAGAGTTGCCATCAGAACACTGAAGAAGCCCTTTCTGAGCCTGTACAAAACTCTATGGGATCAGGAGGGACACTGGATTTAGTGGCTTCTGTTTTAAGGTTTCTCTTGTGAATCGTTTGTACTGTGCACACATCATCAATGAATAAACATAAAGAAAGATTTCTAATCCACTGGTCAATATGGACCATCCAAATCAAGTATGTGGGTTTTTTAAGATTAGTACAGCTCCTATAGAAGATGTTTTCCCTCATATCAAGAGGTTTAGGGAAGTGGCTGTGAAATGTGCATAGATTTCATCTAATGTAATCTACTGTGTTGTTTCATGAAGAGGACCAAATGTGAAAATGTTTAGTCTTTTATTATGGATTGCAAATGGAGGTTGGGATTCTTAATACTCTTCAGAAATATTACATTTCAGTCAATTCTGCCTAACTTTTCTATTTCTTCCTTTATCCCCCCCGATCCAGCCCCACGTTGTTACAGATGCTCAAAGACATGCAGAAAAGACACTAAATTTTTCACTGCATTTGTACTTCTTTTTCATTCCAATAAAACATTACTTCCTTATATAAATGAATAATTGATCTTGGGTTTGATTTACATGCATGGATTAAATGTCATGTTTGAAAAGTTGTTGTTTTATTCATATGGAGATCCCCCAGAGGAAAACCTAGAGGCTGTGTGTGGCATATTTTCATATGCCGTCTTTTACAGCAATATAACTTCTCATAACCATTTCAATCTAGAAACTGCTCCGTCTTCACTGCAACTGATGAAACCATGGAAAACAGAAAGAGGAATTTGGAAATACTGTGGCAAAAACAAAAACTAAACATGCAGTGTGGTTGGTTCTGTCATATTAGCACAGCATGTTTTATTGTTTGCTTTTATCTGAGAGGACTGTTTGTTTTTAAAATCACATTTTTATGAAATTTTTCCATTGAATTTCACATCAAAGGCTTTGTCCATGTCATTGGAAGTGAACATGTTTTAATCCAGGGTCCCTCAGTGTCAAAATTGCTTTCAGATAAAAGATGTTTCATATTTATTCCAAAAAAAGAAATATTCAAAGCAGCTTCCCAGGCATCATATGTAATTAAATAAAATTGCACAGTCACAAATAACAACCCGATTCTGTCCTTTCCTTGTTGAATAAAAACATATTAGTGTCAGTACAGGAAAGCATCATGTCACTGGTACCTGCAAACAAACTGCAAACCAAATATTTAGTGCAGTACCATATTTTTTATATTTTTTAACAGTATCCTAACCATTCATGTTTTAGCATGTAAAATTATTTTTGCATTTATTTAACATCTCATCAAAAAATCCTCACCATGAACAGGCTCTGGTTAACGTGCAGGTCAGTGTCATAGAAGCGACCCCGATGCTCGATTGGCTCAGTGGACACCGCCCATTGTTGCTGCTCTTTATTGCTGCACCAGGCCAAAGCTGGACCCCCTAGACGGCTGTGAAGGGCTACACTGACAGTGTAGAGGCCCCTGGGTAGCTTGTCTCTGGTGGCTCTTAGGCAACAGACACACACCTCCATGGGCTGGGGAGTTGTGCTCTGGGTCACCTAGAACACACAAAATGCAGAGAAGGAGATTTGATTGCAATATTTTGTCTGTTCTGTATTATCTCTAACTCAGAAAGAAATGCACAGATAATTAATAGATAATCCTGAACCCCTTGCCAGTGTCTTTCTGTGTTACTCAGCCTGTAGTGAACAGTCAACCTCTAAAGAATTAACTTTCACTTAGAAAAATATGTATTTGATGGCATTATTCCCCTTTTGGGTGGTTTTATTTAAGTTCAGGTAGGTTGTTTGTTGAACAAGGAGAGTGTTTTTATCCAACTGCAGTACTTACTGTACTGTATGTAAGGCATGCCCAGTACAGCTGCAGGCTTCCATCTACTGATCTCCATTCAACCATTTAGGGGTTAAGTACCTTGCTCAAGGGCGCATCAGCATTCCTTGTAATCAAATTTAAGAGTAATATTTATTTCCATTGGCCACATTGCCCATTCAGATAAAGGTTTCGGAACGCCAACCTTCTGGTAGTGAGCTCATCCCACTAACCTTCAGGCTACATCAGCCCACTTGTTTATTTTCGTGTTTGTTTTAGTGACATGTGCCTCTTTTTGGGGCTTAGGATGAGTAATATGGTAAGCTGGCTAGACAGTTTAGTTTTTTATTGAAACATAATCAAAAAACAATATAAATACATATCCAGTCTTTTGTCCCCTGTGGCATCTGTTGAACAGCACTGAATGAAAAGTCAATCTGGCTTAAACAGAGCCCCTTTGGTCTTTATCACCATTTATATGTTTTTAAACTTCACTAACAATGTTGGTTTGTCTATTCCCTGACCGGTTGGACATTTTGTCCATCCATTTCTTCATCTAGGACAGATCTGCCCAGCATCTAAAAGGATACTGGGCAGATTGCCATTCAATTTTGTGAGGAAATTAATGGTCCACAGAATATGATTCCTAATATTTTTGATGATGCTTTCACCTTAATTATACAAATTTAATCAGACCAAACCTTCCACTTGTGTACAACAAATATCAAAATCCTATCCTAAACAATCTTTTCCTGCCCTATACTATCATTTCCCCTCCTGTTTTAGACAGTACAGCTTAAGAGATAGACAGGAAAGGACGTGCAAAACACAGAATGAAATGCAGCAAAGGGCCACAGGTCGGATTCAGAACCATGGTCAATGCAGCAAGGACACATGGGGCATCAGCTCTACCAGTGAGCTACCAGGGTGCCCTGTATCCTATCCTGTCCTATCCTATGCTATTCTATGCTATCCTATACATTTTTATCCCATACTATCTTTGCTATCTTATCCTATCCTATCCAATCATATCCTATCCTATCCAAACATATCCTATTCTATCCTATCCCATCCTATCCTATCCTATGCTATCCTATCCTGTCCTGGTCTATCCTATCTTGTCCTATCCTATTCTATCCTATCCTATCCAATCTTATCCCATCCCATCCTATCCTATCCTATGCTATCCTGTCATGTCCTATATCTATGCTATTGTATCCTATTGTATCCTATCCTATACTATCCTATCCTAACATATCCTATCCAATCCTATCCCACCCTACCCTATGCTATCATATCCTAACCTATCCTATTCTATCCTATGGTGTCCCGTCCTATCCTATCCTATCCTATCCCATCCTAGTCTATCCTATCTTGTCCTATTCTATTCTGTCCTATCCAATGGTATCCCATCATATCCTAACATAGCCTATTCTATCCCAGCCCATCCTATCCTATCCTATGCTGTCCTATGATGTCCTATCCTATTCTATGCTATCCAATCTTATCTCATCCCATCCAATTATATCCTATCCCATCCTATCCTATCCTATCCTATGCTATTGTATCATATTCTATCCTATCCTATCCTATGGTATCCCATCCTATCCCATCCTATCCCATCCTATCCTATCCTATCCTATGCTATTGTATCATATTCTATCCTATTCTATCCTATCCTATCCTATGGTATCCCATCCTATCCTAACATATCCTATATGATCCTATACCATCCTATTCAACCCTTTGCCATCCTATCCTATCCTAGCCAATCCTATCATGTCCCTTCCATTTCATAAGTGCATGCATTTATTTCTCTCTGATTATCTAAGTTGCATCTCTTAATGCCCATTCATTTAATGTATTTGAATTTACACTGCGTTGACCAACTCCCTCGGGCAAATTTTGAGTATCTGGTAATTAAAGCCCTCAATTCCAATCAATGACATCGTAGCACTCAAGGGCTGCATGCGCTCACACACACACTCGTACGCTGTATCCACTGTTTGTTTTACAGTATACTGTGCAATAAGTGTTGTCACCAAACAAGCTGAGGCTGTTCCTAGCCTTTTCACAGGCACCCACCACACACACATTCACCTACCAGTGGCTGGCGAAGCCCATTGCTCTGCCAGCCTGTGAGGGGGGAAGGTGTGTGCTGAGCCCTGCAGTAATGCCCCTCAATCTCCCCACTGTGAGCATCTTTGCATACCAAAACAACAAAAACAATTTAGGCAGAAGTGAAATTAGTATAATTGGTGGCAAAGCGGTTTAGCCCACACGTCTCACATTTGGGAGGAGGTGATGGAGGCCTCCAAACCCCCACACTGGAAAGAGATGTATGCACACAGACTGGAAAGGAAGAGGAGGAGGAGGAAAAAAGGAGAAAAAAGAAGCAAAGAAATATAAAACAATAACGTCACACCGGTGTCCAATTTGCACTATGTGTCTTTAAAGGGTATTGTTATTATCTGGCCCACATGGTTGCACAGGCGTCGTAAGAAACAGTCAAGACAGCAAGGCGAAGGTAAAAGGTGAAGTGAGCCAATTTTCCATATCAGAGGTGGTTTGTTTGCCCCAAGCCTGAGTTGTGCCTAAAGTGCCATAACATTACAGCACTCCTACAGATGAGATCAAAGGCTCTAGCAAGGGATCCTCCGTGGTTTTGCTGGCAAGCGGCCGTCCTTTCGCTGAAATATCTTTTCAGGGCTTTCCACACATTGACTGATCACACAAAATGCACTCTTAATAGAGACAGGAAATGCCACATACAAAAACTTCCTTTCTTTCTAAGTATGGGCTAATATTCAGAGATTAAGCTTTCTCGTTAATTATTTTCATTTTAATTAGTAAATCTTAATTAACAATGAACATTTACCCTTAAAATTTTTTGGCTTCGGAATGAAGGAGGGGGGTGAAGAAAGGAGAGAATAAATATGACAATCTTTTTGGGACCTCCGGGCAGGATTACTGATGCAGGCTGCCTTAGTTATTAAACACGTTCTAAATTAAATGCCTCCATGAATTTTGCACAGAAATATATTTTCATAGTTTTGCATGCCAAATGTGACATTTTATATTTCAGATTCATCTCGCTGCAGTAATTTTAGGGAAATGTCATATAAACAAAGATTTTGTCATTTACCAAAGGAAATTACTATGCGTGGCAGGTTTGGCCATTGCTTTCTCTCTCTCTCTTTCTCTCTTTCCCTCTCCCTCTTTTGCCCCCTATTCTGCCTGTGCCGGTTGTTTCAAGTCAGCAAGCCATAAAAAATCTTTATCTCAGTGAAACACAGCAATTTGGGAGATAATCGAATGGTGACTGGGGGGCACAAACGCCAGTCTGAGGAATTATACCACAATCTCCCCTGCATTTACAACCTTCCTCAAAGCCAGTTGTCACCCTGGAAGGAAAGCCCCCGACTGAAGATTCATTACATCTTTAAGCCAGCACGGTGGCATGGCAGCCTCATCCCCAGATGCAACACAACAGCACACTCCTCCCACAGCTGGTGATGCTACCGCTAAAGCTGCAGCTTCCTTCTCTCTTTCCCACTTGGTTCTCTTTTCTCTCCTCTCCCTCTGTTCCCCTTTTTCATCTCCAAAGATTCCTTCTCCCTCCTACTTAGACTCCTAAAACCACAGACAACATCCACACAAAGCAGGAGAAAAACATCTTTATATACTGAATAAAAATAATGTGGCTGCATAGTTAGCATTCAGCGTATGGAAGCCTTTTTCTCAGCGCTATATAGTGCCTGTGTGTGAATGTGTGTGCCTTTGTGTAGGCATGTGCACATACAGTCCCCTTTGGTGTAATGAAAGGAGTGAAGGAATTTGGAAAACTAGAAAATAAGGGATATGATTTTTCCCATTCTCTAACAGGTCCCATTCATCACAGGATTTCACATAATTACATCATTTGACTGTTTTTTTAACAAACAACCTTCCCTCTTTTTTTTTTTTTTTGGATGATTTGTAAACACTTCCGGATCAATATCTCCCCCCTGTGAAATAACCTTTTAGACATTAAGAGCTATGTCACTTCCTGTTTGTGTGCTTCCTACAAATGCGTGTCACTCAATCCTCAGTCACAGCGGCTGACAGATCTTACCTGCCACAGGGGCCGTGATGCTGAAGAGGAGGATTCTGGGAGCTCTGTCATCTGGCCGTATTTGGCCACTGCTTCGTCTTGGCCTTCCCCCAGCGCTCTGAGTGACGGGCTTTCAGTGGTTCTGCTGCTACATGCACAAACACACACACAGACATATACAGCGCACACAAACACAAGAAGCTAACCCTGTTAACAGCCACCTGCATTGTGGACTCTCTGTTGTTCCACTCTGTAGCCAACAGCAGCTCAATCTAATAACACCACAACAAAACAGTTTCCACTGGGTCCCTCTCTCTCTCTCTATCTCTCTCTCTCTCTCTCTTTCACTCTCTCTCTGCCTTTCTCGGCCTTTCAATCTTATCAGTGGTAATGTAATAAGCGGTTGCTTCGCTCTGTCTCCTCGCCACCTCTCTTAATTCCTCAAAATAAAGCAATATCACAGGGGCCCTGGCCTGCCTGTGACTGGGGATAAGATGCTTGTAAAAGGAAGGATAATTCAGCAAACAAATGCTCGGCATCAAAGGCAGGCACTGGGTCTTTCTTTCCTTTCTCTCCCTCTCTCCCTCCTCTCTGTTCGCCTATCAAAAGTATTACATGTGCTTTCATCAGTTCACAACAAGGCACAATGTGCTTCCTAATGCAATTACTCGACCTCCATTAAATCAGAAACAGTGGAAACAAATGAATTACACATTTGTTACAAAAACCACAAGTCAGCTCTGCGTCTTTCTCTTTATGTTTTTTTTCTTTCATAGGCGTAGGGAGAGAAAAAGTGAAATAATTTCTCATTAAATTTCAGGCAGATGTAGCCCTAGGTGATGCATAGAAAGTCTCCCATGTCTAATAGCCACCCACCATTGATATCAGAAGGAATTTACAGGGTTCAAGGCTGTCGAGAGGAGGTCATCTCGCTAAACTCCGAACCACATTCATCTGACAGAGCTGGTGTCCGACTACCACCCACCCATAAAACAACCAAACAAGAGAAGATACTGATGTGTACAGTAGTTTCTTGATTTTATCATGTCAGCCAGCATGGTAGTCCATAATTACTAAAAACTTAAACATGCTAAGCTGACTGCCCGCGGGGCTCTCGCTACCAGATTTGATGTGTGATCTCTGACTAAAGTGGATGGACTAAGAATTGATGTGCCTCCAAGCCCAATGACATGGACAGATTTCTGTGCCCTCCAGCCATACTACCCACAATGCAATGCCCGTCGACGGGAGAAGCCATGCAGAGGACACATGAATTACATGCCTTCTCGAATGTCAGTGGGAATACAAATGCTTTTCATACAATTAATGATTAGAGTCATGTGACATCAATTTTACAAACTGTGGAAATATGAAATGGGCTAGACTTACCACTCAAGCAGTGTGTTCAGCCTGGGTTGTGGTGCCTCTCTCACTGTCTCATCACAGTGTCTTTGTGAATGAGGCTCCTTTGAAATGTTAAAGTGGATGTGTTAACAAACATTGTTAATGTGTTAACCATCACTAACATTATCATCTAATGGACAGCTTAATTTAAACCACATCACAGATATTATTAATATCTTGGACTGGATGTAATGAATCCATTACATTTCTGAAGATAAGCATTTGAATGTGGCGGGTTTATGTTGAATTAAATAAGAAAGAGCATGCTTGGATAAATGTGTTGAACAGCATACAGTCCCAAAGTGAATGTCCTGTAAAAAAACAACACACCCTTTATACAGTATATATATATATAT